CGTCGGGTTGAGCTAGTGTCCTAGTACCAGTCGGGGATATCGCGAGTCGCGGCTACAGGACGGTATTCAGATATTTTTGGTGTTGCAGAGCCCTTTATCTCGGTTCTCTTAAGACATTGGTACTAAGAAAAATTGCTTATGTTTCCAAGATCTACACGTCGTGTAAAGGAAAACCCCAACTTTGCGGACACCCTATATAGATTTTCCACTTATCATTTTCCCTAGATGCGGAGCCCAATCCGGCAACATCGCAGGCAAGTGCCTCTCTTATATGACATCAACGTCGTCATATGGCACATGGCGGTGTAAATAATGGTAGAAATGAATGCTGAAAATATGTCTTTTGGGGAAAAATGCATGAAAAGCGTGCTTCATCCACAATTTTTTTTATTTAAAATAATCTATCAGACTACCCTCTAGAAGTTTCAAGTGAAAAAACAGTGAAATCTGAAGTTCTACAAGACGTAACAGTACCCTACGCTGTTAAGTCCAAATGGTGAATACTTTGTTTTGTGTGGTCTCTGACATTGTTTACCGATGAATTTGGAAAATGTGAAACTTGGATTCTCAAATAATTGCCTGAAGATCTGTGAGAATTTTTCAAGAAGCCTAAGGCTTGATGATGATAAGCTGTTGAGTTGAGTTGCTTAATGCCGAGTAGTTGACATGTTTCTGTGCAAATTTTTGATAGAAATTTGGTACATGTGTCTGTTATAATTTTCTTAGTAGCACGATACCTCAAAATAAAATTATCTACAAAAGACCTTGCAACAGTAGAAGCTTCTTTATTGTGAGAGTATATCCTTATGCATATTCTGTCAATTCGCAGCGTCAAAATGTTCATCTGAATCTGATTCTAAAGAACCAACTGCGTCTAAAAATATTTTTCGAAACCTGCTGTTATTGCCATAGGTTCAAAGTATAAGGGTACACCAGGCATCTGTATTGGGAATGCATTTTCTTAATGCAAATAAGGCAGAAAGTGTGTGATTATCCAAACAATAGCAAGCATCTCACGGTGTATGGATGGATAATTTTCTTCCGCTTTATTTAAAGCTCTGCTTGCAAATGCTACGCGCCTATTATCTGAATTTGTGATGAATTTACTGACAAAGTGAAGAAGTTATCAGATGAAAAATTTGGATACAGAATCAGGGGTGGATTCATTCAACAACTTGTCAATGTTTAAAAAGTGTGTTGACATTCTGGCGTCCAGTTGAAAGTTGTGCCTTTTTTGTAAGTTGATTTAGAGGTGATGCAAATTTTTTGATCAATGGTATTTTGCAAATGCAAAAAGCCTCTTTGTTCCAGATGAATTTTTACGTGAACTATTAAGATTTATATATTCATATAATTTAGCGGGGAACTATTCTGTTTAGGAAGCTTTTGAGTAGGTTTTATGCTACATAGGTGAAAAACAGAACAATCGCTTACAATCAATGTGGAACTTGCATTGCCTACACGAGTTCTGGTGTCATCTTTTTCTAGAGGGATTCATTAAAAAGTTACAAGGTGTTGAAGGTTAAAAATAAATAACATTTTTTTTATATACAGTAATGAACAAACGTATGTAGACAAATATGAATATTTACCTAAATATATTTAGAATACGAATTCATACTTCTTGCTCCATAAACAAATCCGTTATTAGAAAAACTAAATTCCTTGTTTTTACATTATCTGCAATGAACACCATACAAGTCTGAATATAAGCACTTTTTCAGTTGGTTTTGTACAATTTCGTGTCAGAAGAGGACTTGTTTGCGTTCATCAAGTATTGTGGAAGTTAAGTGATTTTAAGACCATGCCGCGTGGTCCGAAATTTCTTTCAATGTGAAAACTAAGATCATTGAGTTATACAAAGATGGTCAACGTCAAGTCGACGTTGCCAAAAATTTGGGCAATATTGAACAAATATGGGGTTGTCCAAAATGGACGCAGGAAAGTAAACGCATATTAAAACAAGAAAGATTGATATTCAAATCAAGTTGGGTACTTTATTTTGAAGGTTCATTTATACCATTTATGTATGAAAAATAATATCGCTCAAATGTTCACCACGACTGGATTTACAGACGTCCCCGCGATGGTCGACATTTTCAATGACATTTTGCAACATGGTCGGTTTTATGGCATTTATCTCAGCAATGATGTTGTTTTTGAGTTCTTGGAGGGTGGCTGGCTTGTTGACGTAGACTTTGCTTTTCAAATATCCCCATAAAAAGAAGTCCAAGGGAGTCAAATCGCACGATCTTGGTGGCCATGGCACATTTCCTCTGCGCGAAATCACGCGATCACCGAAGAAGGACTGCAATCGATGGATATTGACGTTGGTTGTGTGGCATGTTGCACCGTCTTGTTGGAAATAAACATCGTCCATATCCATTCCTTCAAGTTGCGGCAAAAAATAGTCCTCTATCATCACGTGATATCGCTCAGAATTGACGGTAACGGCGTCCCCGGCCGCATTTTCGAAAAAGTAAGGTCCGATGATGCCTTTTGACCACAAAGCACACCACACAGTCACTTTTTGAGGATGCAACGGCTGCTCTTGATACTCACGGGGATTTTCGTTCGCCCAGATGCGGCAGTTTTGCTTGTTTACCTTCCCATTCAAAGTGAAATGCGCTTCGTCGCTGAACAGGATTTTTGATGAAAAATTGGCATCAATTTGGCGGTGTTCAAGGAGCCAATCTGAGAACGTTCGGCGCGAAAAATGGTCGGCCCGACGCAGCTCTTGCGTCAATTGGATCTTGTAGGCGTGTACATTCAAATCCTTGTGGAGAATGCGGAGCAAACTGGTTCTCGAAATGCCCAATTCTTGGGATCGACGCGTTGTTGATTGTTTCGGATCGTCTCTCACACTCTCCTTCACAACAGCAATATTTTACGGTGTGCGAACGCTCCTTGGCCGGCCAGAGCCTGGCAGATTTGCCACAGAACCTGTTGCCTCGAATTTACGCACCAGACGACCGATGGTTGTTTCGTTTGGGCGGTTGTTGCGACCGAAATGTTCACGAAGCGCGCGAAACGTGTTTTTTATTTTTGCACCATTTTTGTAGTGCTCTTGAATAACTTTAATGCGGTCTTCAATCGAATACGACTCCATAGCGATCAATGGTAAACATTCAACTAACAAAATGACATGTCGGTGACAGAAAACAAAGATGGCGTCTATGTCAAATTGACGTTTACTTTCCTGCGTCCCTATTGGACAACCATATATAAACAACCCTATATAAACAAAAATGTATCTTGGAAGCCTCTAAGAGAAGTGGTCGGCCTAGAAAACCAAATGCTAGATCAGTTAGATTAATAAAAGTAATTTCGTCCAAAGATCGTTCAAAACCCCAAGACAAATAAAAGTCGAAAACGAGACAAAAGGAATTGTCAGTGTTTCAACGAAAACTATAAGTAGAAGATTAAATGATTTGAAGTTATTTGCACGTCGCCCGAGTATAAGCCGCTAATCTCGACGAAAAACTGTAGCGACCGATTATAATTTGCACGGTTGCATCTTGATTGGAGCATCTGTGACTGGAAGAGGGCATGTTTCAGTGACGAATCCAAGTTCGATATGTTTGGATCAGATGGTGTTCATTACGTTGTTCCGGGTCTGTTCCGGGTCTGTTCCGGGTCGGTTCCGGGTTCGGTTCCGGTTCGGTTCCGGCTCGGTTCCGGGTCGGTTCCAGGTCGTCCTAGTGGACAAAGATTGAACCCCAAGTACACTTTGCCCACTGTCAAACATGGAGGCGGGTCTGTTATGGTTTGGGGGTGCTTTTCGGGGTTTGGGATGGGACCTTTACATAGAATAGATGACATTATGGATAAGTTTGTATACACAGGAATACTAAAGCATGTCATGTTACCCTATATAAAAGACAATATGTCCTCAAGATCAATCTTCCAGCAAGATAATGACCCGAAGCACACTTCAAATCTCGCAAAGAAATTCTTTCTGGATGAGAAAATACCAGTTCTCAAATGGCCTTCACAGTCTTCCGATATAAACCCCATTGAAAATCTATGGGAATACTTAGATAAGCAAATACGAGATAAAAATTATTCAAACAAGGATGAACTCTTTGCCGCTTTAGAGCAAAAGTGGAGACATATTGATGAATCTTATATCAAGAAACTTTTACAATCTAAGCCGAGACGATGCCAGGCGGTGATTAATAATAATGGTTATGCTACAAAATATTAACACAAAGATGGTTGGTTTTCTATAATTCCACGAACTTTGCTTATTTTTTCTATAACTGTTTTGCCTTCTCTATATATTTTTGTCCTTCATACTTCCAGTTTTTTTAATTATTTTTTTTATTGACAGAAGTCTAATGAATTTATTTATGTATGAGTATTATGCTATAACGAATTATGTATACAGGTTGGTGTATTAATAAAACAAGTTAAAAAAGAAATACATCACAATATTAATTTGTCTATATACTTTTGTCCATTACTGTATACTATAGCTTAATTACCATACCAAGTTTTAGTTCATTCCAATTAACGGTTTTGAAGATATTAAGAAAAATTATTGATTTTTAAACTTCAACACCCGTATCTTTTTAATGAAGCCTTCGAGAAAAAAATGTTACATAGAAGACCCTCCTTAAAATGCGGCCCTGTGTATGATGTTTAATTTTTGGTCACAACTTGTGAATCACCACGTATAGGTTTTTGACGATTTATTTCACGTATAGTTATTACGGTCGGATTAGTCGTATGCATTTCTGTCAAGAATCTCAGATTGTCCCTCATGCAACGAAGATCATTGTCAAAACATTGTACCTGTTAAACGCGGCTTAACAGGTAGACATTGATCTATTTTTTATTTTTCGAAATTCCAACTCAACATTTATGTCATCTTCATTAACAAACTGCATGAACGACTTTTCATAAATTTACAGATACAGATAGCTTGATAAGACAAAGAAGGTACCATAACTTACTGATACTCAGTAATTTCACATTTTGACCAGAACGATGCTTACCCTAGGTTTCTGTGGTGTCCGGATACCATGATCCTCAAGATGCCTTGCTTTGGTAGGTCTAGGGGCAGGCATTAACTGAGGTATATAGTTCCAAGCGGATGGAATGCAGGAGCACAGCGTTTCATATAATCGCCTCAGCCAATCTCCAGATCGATGTTGCGACTTGAATAACTCAATCAGGAGGTCTCTTTGTGGTTTTAGATCGGCCTAGAAAGTCAAGGTCAAGGTCATGGTCATATATACAGGGTGGAGCATCGAAAACAAAACAGACGCATATACTGGCAGCTCAGTTTTTTTTTGAAAAACGCTCAGACCCGTCGATTTTGTTTTCGAGGGGGACACAAGTTTGGCAAAAAATCACTTTAGCACGTGCAGCCCCTAACCGGGGGGTGACACCACCTCCAAAATCTTAAATGGAAAGGGGGGTCGAGTGATAGCTTATTTTAAAGGTCTTTCAATTCCCTTTATAATGATATAAAATTAATGTACCTCAGTTCAGCAGTTTTGAGGATTTATTGATTTAAAGCTTAAATAAAACTAATACATCATCATTAGTGGAGATCAATACATTTGGCAGCAAAGTATACTTTATCTGAAGTCACTTGAAATAGCATAAAAACCTTTGGTCGGCGCGTCCTTTGTAATTTCATGACGTATCATAGGCGTGCGGTCATTTATTTAGAACGATAATAATAATGTTTTTATATCACAATAAATGGATTTTACTATCTTCTTATTTTTTTGATTTGGGATAAAAAATACTTATATTGGGAGTTTAAATTATGTTGACTGAAAGTTAAGAAATGTAAAAATTACAGAATTCCAACGTTTGACATAGGCAAATATTTACATAGCAGGTAGGTATATAAAAAGGTATATAAAGACTTACATTATAGGTATTTATATATCATCCTCGCCTTCGGAGCTGTCGCTAGAGTCATCTTGTAGAGGAATTACAACGGAATTTACAGGAGGCAAAACACAATATTCATTTTCTTTTTCAATAATATGCCTAGAACACTGCTTCCATAGGTCTGTGGCAGCAATATGAGATACTGCATCTCTTATTGTGGCCAATAGCGATTCACTTAATTGAGGGGTCTGATTATGTTTTCTTACTTTTTTTTTAAAGCAGCCCAGACCAACTCAATCGGGTTAAAAATGCAGTAATAGGGAGGTAGACGTAATACTTCATGGCCATTTTGCTGAAGCAGATTGTCAACAACATACTTTTTTTCAAATTTTTGTCTTTTAATAAGATCCAATAATATGGCTTTGGTTGATTTTTGTGGTATTTCCATTCCCTTATCCTTCATAAAATCAATAATGTCTTGTTTTTTTGTGCCTGTATTCGGAATTTTGTTTTTCTGTCGGGAATGGTATGGCGCATTGTCCATAATAATCACTGAATTTGGGGAAATGTTTGGTATTAACTGCTGCTCTATCCACTTTTCAAATAAGTCGGAGGTCATGTCCTCATGATAGTCGGCACATGATTCTTTGATATTTTTGGCAGATAACAGCAAGGCATTAGGTATAAATCCATTTTCACTGCCAGCATGGAGAATAATGATTCGTTTTCCACGGTTGCATGGTGCATTTAAAATGCACTTGTTGCTGTCGTCAACCCAGCCGTACTGCACAACATCATGGGTATCATACCACGTTTCATCCAGGTAAATCAGATTTCTTTTCTGCTCTCTATAGATTTTAACTTTGTGCAAAAATTCTTGGCGCAATTCAACGATTCGAGACGACTCCATAATCACCATTCTTTTATATAATTTTTTGTATTGAAAACCACACAGTTTTACAATACAGTGCAGTGAGTCTAAGCATTTGTAATTATAAAAATCTTCAGGATAATCTTTTAATTTATCCCGTATCATTTCCAACGTGGGCACCAAATTTTCTTTATAAAATCCGTATATTATACGACGAATATCTTCCTGAAAACCCACGTCTATTCTTTTTAATTTTTGCCCTATGCGCTTTCTGTGGAAGGAATGGTTGACTACATCTCCCCTTTTTATAACCCGATAAATGGTAGACCGACTGATTTTTGTCAGGATACAAATTCTGTTTAAAATTTGATTTTGCGAGGAATCTGGATTTTCGTTTTTCAGACAATCATACATATTTAGGATTACTCTTTGGGTCTGTTCCTCCAAATCTTTATGAAAGAATTCTGCCTGCACAGGTTCATCAACCATCTCCTCGTGGCTTGGAGCATTTTCCCAAGGTCTCCAAAGAGCCATATTTAGGACACACAAGAACAATCAACACAACAATTAAATCAACAAGTAAACTGAGTATTCAAAAGTCAAAAACACACAAACTAATAAAATCTATGAAAAAACACGGACAGACTAAAGAAAACACGTTTATTCACCGCTACACGGCACTGGCTAAACTGTTTCAATTTTCAGTAGCCACCTGCACTTGTTCGGAGCTCTGATATACACGCTTTCTCATTGGCTATGTCCACGCATAGGCGTGCTTTACTCCACGTGGACCGGTGAAACTGCCTTTGATCTTAAACGGGGGATATTTGCTGCGAAATAAAAATATTTTTTGCCAAACTTCTGTCCCCCTCGAAAACAAAATCGAAGGGTCTGAGCGTTTTTCCAAAAAAAAGCGGGCAGTAAATGCGTCTGTTTCGTTTTCGTTGCGCCAGCCTGTATATCCAAACTTAGAATCTTTTCCTCTTTCAATTTCGGTGGTCAAAAGTATAGAGTTCAGCTTAAGAAAATCAAGTGACCCCAAGGTCAAAACGAAGGCCATTGCTAGATTGCTTGAATAGAATCCTACAACTGTTGTCTCAGTTATCTTTTCTACGGCCAGTATTTACTGAGATGGGATGGTGTCGGTAATTTTTTGAGCACCCTGTTTGGAGACTGATGATACTGGATCCTCCACTAGGTATATTCAGAGTGACAAAAAAGCCCCGGAACGGCTCAGCATTCTCTCGGGTAAGATATTTTTGGAAAAGATCAAGCCAAGTTCTTCAGTGAGGGAATTCAACGGTGACCTTGAATTTGACCTTCAAGGTTAATTTACGGTCAGCTACTTTTTTTATAGCAACCGCTATTTTTGATGCCGGCAATCGAAAGAACAGAAAATTTTACGTTCAAACAAAAGTAAAGTCCAAGGTCAGAATCACTACTAAAGGTCAAATGAAGATCAAACAAGCGCTGCTAGGAAACACTCTTTGAATCTCACAGGATTAGTGATGAAAATAACTCTGAAAGTCAGGTTTGTAGTTAATTTTGACGAGAGATCTTGGATTTGACATTGAACTTCACTTTCAAAATCATCTTGAGGTCATTTTTTCAAATCAGGAATAGTATCGGCTAAAAATCATTTTTAAGGAGCACCGTAGTTTCCTCGCTAAAACTTACCCAAAGATTTGACCTTGGCAGCTACATTCGTCACTATTCGTGTGAAACATTTGAATGAAAGGTTTCCGGCTCCCTGGATTGGAAAGAGTTGATCTTGAAATGACCTTGAAATGTGATATTCAAGGTCAAACCCTAGCTGCACATATTTGACCCTTATTCAACCTACCTAATCTCCAGCGGTCATCCTGATTTTGAATTTTAATACATATTCGAATTTAAAATAGGGGTTTCCATTAAGAAAATTAAGTTAACTTTGGCCAAGTTTTAACGAGAGAACTAGGCCCAACTAGCAAAGTAGTGGTATAAGCTTTTGGTAAAAGAACCGTTCAGCCATAAAAGCTCTCTATTGTTGTTGCCTGAACACCAAAATGCTGGCTTAATGTTGTGTGGAATGCAAATTTGCTTTCTGCAACATATTTGCTATAAAATGAGGTGTTTAAAATATTCTTATAGCATAGTTATACAACACCTTATAGGGCAAATTTTTAACTGTTGCATAAACGTTTATACAACTATTTTATATGGCATATTTCCACGTTAGTCAAAATGGTTGTGTTGTGGCATCCGTGGTAACGTTTATAAAACAAACCCGAGCCTTGTTGTTTTGCTGTGCAATTTACTGCTTTAGCCAACAAATTGCTCCCAACGGAAGCACTTATACAACTGTTGTTTAGTAACTGTTAAAGGCTGTACATATGCTAAATATGTTGGTAAACAACTTCACCATAACCTAACTTTCTGCTGTCATATTTTTGTTAAAATGCCATAACCAATGTTTTAAGACAAACAACGCATGCACATTGGTTCAAAAGGCTTTATCAACTGTTCAAACAGAAGATATAGATCTGGTACAAATTCTGGGTAAATCATTCAACTCTGTCGGTATTTCATTTCAGACATTTGTCAAATTGTTGTATAACACCTGCAGGCAACACCAAAATATTCTAATAACCGAAAGACAACATGAACGATGCTATGATTATACACAACCACCTGCCATATTGGGCAAAGATTTATTCCTCTATTTAATATTAAATAATTATGTTTCAGTTTGAAATTACAGATATAAAGTGATAAACGTTAGTGTAATTGTGTCTAAATATAGGATTTGTGGAAGATTTAACGCAGATAAGTTCAGTTTTTCATCTTAAAAATCTAGACATACCTTTGATAATTGTCAAAATATGAATCAAATACGAAGCCCGTAGAAATTGCGTAACTAATTTGCACGATAATCACAAAAAAATTTGCTGCGCAAGTAATTCAATAGCCCTATATCACAGTGTAGAAGTTTATCATATACCTGTGTATGAAATTCACAATGGCCGATATGTAAGTAAACAAGATGACTGTAATGTGTTAGTTATATATTCTTCACTTCGTCTATACAATCCATAAGAAATAGTTTGGTTGCAGTAAAGTAGAATCACGTAACAGAATAGTTGTATAGTTGACAAAAACTGAATCTTGCACTGATGCAAATGTCCTATAGCGGCTGCAAGAGGCTTACACTTTTGTTTTATAACTGTTACCTGCAGCCCTTATACAACCTCTTAAATGACTGAATTGTCCTATTAGGTGTGCCCATTCCGCTTGTATAGCTGTTCTAAGAGGATTTTTCCAATGTTCTTACAGTATACAATGCTGTTTAAGGAATACTGTATAATCATTCTTGCAACTCCAATAGGAGTGATAATTGTTAGTTGGGCGGTGCTCGTTACAAATGATTTTTAACCGATACTGTTACTGAGGGTTTTCATTTGAGAAAAATGACGCTGAAATGACCTTGAAGGTGAGGTTCAAGTTGAAATATAAGATCACTGTTCACTCCATTGTTAAAATTTGTCAAAGACCTGACCTTGATACTTATTTTCATCACTCATTCGGTGAACGTATAAAGATTTTTCTAGCAGCACACATTTGATCTTCATTTGACCTTTAGTAGTCAACCTGACCTTTTGATGAGTGATCTTGGATTTGACCTTAAATATAAGGTCAATCTTTTTTTTTCAATTAGGAACCCACATGCACGGTATCGGTTAAAAATCATTTGTAACGAGCACCGAAGTTTCCTAGTTAAAACTTACCCAAAGATCTAACCTTTCGTTAGTATTTGTGTGATGTTTCGGGAAGTTCTCCTAGCAGCACACATTTGGCCTTTATGCGACATCCAGTGGTGAAAATTGGACTTTAATTATTGTATTTGAATGTGAAATTTTATGTTCTTTCGATTGCCTGCATCAAAAATAGGAGTATCTATTTGAAGCAATTAAGTAAACCTTGCAGGTCAAGGTGAAATTCAAGGTCACGTTACTAAAAGTGACTGAAGACCCGACCTTGACCTTTTGCAAAAATACATGAGAAAATACAGAACCGTTCCTGGACTTCTGTGTCACGCTGTATCTACATGCTGAAGCTAAAAGTAGTATATGACGTTTACTCTATCTTAGAGAAAATAAAAAACCTTTAATTCGCTACTAGTCAGTGTTTGAGAGGAATGGTGAAAAAAAATGAGGAAACATTGAAGAAGGTTGTTCCTTTTTATCTCAGTTGCCTTGTCCTGGTTTTACTGACTACGATGTAAACAAAAAAATGGCGGAAATCACATTGTTTTTGACCACATACTGTTACTTCATTCATGCTAAAACTGACTTACCATTAAAATTTGTACCACGAACATTCTACTGACAGGAAATGAACCACTTCCGAAGTGGTTAAAGTGTATCATAACAAAATCTTCTGTTTGACGTAAGATGCTGGTGAACATGTTAAACAAAGGCGTCGACTGATCCGGGACATGATTTTGCATCAAGTATTTGTACCAGTTATTCACAATGAATAGCGATTCAGCGCTGAAAGGATATTGGAATCTGTCTTGGATCAGAGAGCTTATGGTGCGCAGTACACCTTCTCGCAAATTGACGCCCTCCTGAAATGAGATGGGGATTGGCTATACTCCAGGCCATTGATTCCCAAAGTGGTCTATATCAGCGAAAAAAAATTTGGGGGTCCATGAAATGAATATGGGGGTCCACGATAGTGGATCTCAACACATAACATACACTGATAGTACCTATTTACTTACATCATTCTATCTTATAATATCAAAACATATACATTATTTATAAAAGTACCTATGAAGTAAAAAAATTATTATATATGTTTATAAAATTGTGTAAGTTGTAGGATGTTGGTATTCGCTTTGTGGTCGCAATACATTTTGAACTTGTAAAAACCTGAGAGTCGCAGCCTCAGAGCTTCGCTACCTTGCACTGACTTGTTCAGTTCGTCACTCTATAAATACGAATGTGGGACAAATACGTTTATTCGTTTCCTGAATCTTGAAAAGGAAAGTGCTAAGAAAATCTTTTAAAAAATATAAACAGATAGTATATCACACAAATTATAGTGAGTCAGTGTTATTTTGTTTGAGAGTGCTGGAGAAAAGTAAGTACATTATTTTTTATTAAATTTTAGTTTTGTACTCGTAGTTAGCAAAGATAGATAAATTACGCCAATCATGACTTTAGTTATTAGTAGCTAAATATTCAATCATGCAAAATTACACGAGAACTCCTCAATAGTTTCTTTTTGAAAGTTTTAGCAATCGGTAATATAATTACAGTGCAATCTCCGTAATTCGAGCTAATTGTTGCAAGAAGATGTTCAAATTATGGAATGTTTTCGGAAAAATCAAAAAATATTTTTTATATACAGCTGCAAGATTTTCTGTCTTATTTGAATAATTTAATTTTGCCCACAGATGACTGATGCCATGTCCGAACCTAAAAAGAAATGTAGACAGTACAGTGTTGATTATTTGAAATTTGGCTTCATTCCATCATTGCCGGACAAACAATCGCCTATGTGCCTTTTATGCAACAAAGTTTTGGGCAATGACGCTATGAAACCATCTAAACTGCAAGATCATCTGAGAAGATGCCACCCTGATAAAACAGAGAAAGATTTGAAATTCTTTCAAACACTCAAAGATAAATTTCAGAAGAGACCTAAACTGGATAGAATGTTCGCTTCGACGTCACAAAGAAATGATGATGGTTTGCAGGCGTCTTACAATATCTCGTTACTTATAGCAAAATCCGGAAAACCGCATACTATCGGAGAGAAGTTAATTTTGTTAGCCGTTGAAGAGGTTTTAAAAACTGTTTTACACAAACCTGCATCTGATATCATTAAAAGAACTCCCTTAAGCAAGAATACTGTTGAAAGACGTATTGATGAAATAAGTTCTGATATTGAAAGCTTCTTATGTAATTATTTGCAAACGACCCATTTCTCTATACAACTGGACGAGTCAACTTTACCTGATAATGCAGCATTATTATTGGCATATGTTCGTTTTATTATGAATCAAGAAATCTACGAAGAACTGCTCTTCGCAAGAACTTTGATAACCGACACTAAAGGTGAATCAATATTTCATGTTTTGAAGGATTACTTCATTGAAAAAGCAATTCCTTTATCAAATATAATATCAGTAGCTACAGATGGAGCACCTGCCATGGTTGGACGTTATCGTGGATTTATAAGCTATTTAAAACAAAATGTGTCAGGGGTGTTAGCAATACATTGCGTCATCCATCGACAACATTTAGTTGCTAAAAATTTGATTGTTAGATTGCATGAATCACTTCATTTAGTCATTGATGCCGTAAACCGAATCCGAAGCAACGCGTTGAATACGCGGTTATTTGCGCAGTTGAGTGAAGAAAATGACGAACACTTTCATCAATTACTCCTTCACGCTGAAGTACGCTGGCTGTCGAAAGGCTTATGTTTGACAAGATTTTTTGCACTTTTTGAGACTATTTTAGAATTTCTGGATACTAAAGATAAAATTTTAAAAGAAAATTTAATGAAGAGGAAAACAGACATCGCCTATTTAACAGATTTGTTCACAAAATTTAATATGGTTAATTTGCAATTACAAGGCGACAGTTTAAATTTGATTAAAACAAAGTCCATCTTATCAGCGTTTCTTGCCAGAGTTAAACTAATGAAGCAAAATATTGGACGGGGCGAATTTTCTCAGTTCCCCAATTTGTCACAGACAAGCTGCCAGGAAGACGACGTTTCAACTTACGTTCAACATTTAAATGCCCTCTGTTCAGATTTTGAATCTAGGTTTGAGGATATTTTGACTATGGTAATACCACCGTGGATAATTAATCCATATGGTGACATAGAAGAAACGAATGTCATAATACAAGAGGAACTGACTGAACTAAGTACAAACGAAGAACTTAAGGTTCAGTTTAAAAATGGATATCAGCAATTTTGGCTGCAAAACAACATACCCGTTACTTATCCCGTATTATGGAATATAGCGAGGAAATGTTTAATTTCCTTTCCATCGTCATACTTAGTGGAAAGGGGGTTCAGCGCTGTTACCAATCTCCTAACGAAAAAAAGAAACAGACTGGACATCATTAGCCGAGGAGATTTAAGATTAACCCTTACAAAATTGACGCCAAATGTTAATAATTTATTATTAAAGCGTCAGGTTCATCTTTCTCACTAAAAATATTGACTTATTGCTTATGTTATTTTATTTATAGTTTATTTTATGTTTATTGGTGTCTGACCAATAAATGCCCGTATTGGGAATAAGTGCCCGCATTGATTTTTTTAAAGAACCCCCCTTTATAGAAAATACTTTTTTTTTAAATTATTCTGAAAATCACGGATAGGTACACACTAAAATTCGTTAATTTTTTGCATATTTTTAGATAACTTAAACGTATAAGAAGCGGAATTTAATCAAACTAACAGTGAAATTAATGTAGAACATACGTCTATGTTATAATTAATAAACGAACTCGCTTATTGTACTATTTTAAGTAAAAAACTTTTTTTTATTATTTTTCACTTTTTTTTATTTTATCCCTCTTAATTTTTTTTTCAATGCGGGCACTGATTCCCAATGCGGGCACTTATTGGTCAGACACCTGTTTATTTAATGTTACCTATATTTTACATAACAGATACACAATTTTATTTTGAGTAGTTTTAATTTAAATTCAATTGATAAATGTATAAATTAACATGTGTTTTTACTTAAAGTTTTTAACACTAAACTTCACTACAGTTAGAAATTTACAGGAAATCAATATCAGGTAAGTAGGGGGTCTACCCAACACGGAAAAACATGGCAAGGCGTCTACGACACAAAAAAGTTTGGGGAACTCTGCTCTAGGCTCTAGGGCAGGCCTCTCCAACTCAGGTGCCACCAGCGCAGCGCCGAGTACCGCTTAGTGGTGTTGGTTTTCGTTACTTTCGAGTACTCGTTACTAATCGTTACTCTTCTACAAAGTAATCGAGTATTGTTTTCGTTACTTTGATTACTATGAGTAGTATCGGTATAACGATTTGGCAATGTGCGTCGTGTGATTAATGTCGAATTTAAACAAGTTGAATGGAAGCGAATCTTGTAAGAAAATAGACGACCTTAAAATTTGCAAAATGTTATAAGCATAGTTTATTCAAGACTATCGTGTTTAATCCAAACATTGTATCTTCAAACTGTATGCTTATCGAGATGAGTTATCATAGGATGGAGTGTCATATGACTCATATGAGCCTACAAACTGAAAATACTTTGTATTTACTAGAAATACTTAAAAACATGTCTTTTAGTCAGAAAGATGATCTGTATATGGGCTTAAGGAAATTCGGAATGGCATGTGACTTTTCGAAGCATTTCAATTATGCATAATATACCAGTATAAAAAATTCTACGTTGAGCTTGGTCTACACATACTATTGGTGGTCATACTGAATTATATTTTTTTTTGCAAAACGTTGCATGGAAACACGAGTCAAATTGACATAACTTTTATTATTGTGGTTTTCCTGAACGGTGGTGTTACCTTGTTGTCTCTTTTCTGCCGCATAATACTGCCGAAAAATTCCTTATATACTTATATATTTTTTTTTTCATATTTTGTACCTTGAAGAAGACTAGCGAGGTAGACGAATCGTTCGTAAACTTTTTCAATTCTGTGGTTTTAATTATTGGCCAGTTGAATGGAATGGAATAAATGAATGATGTAACAATTACGTCAATTCTTGAATATAAATTTTACGTGATTTCTGAATAAATATGAAATAATAAAACTATACTATATAACATACATATACAGGGTGGCGCATCGAAAACGAAACAGACGCATTTACTGGCAGCTCAGTTATTTTTTGGAAGAACGCTCAGACCCGTCGATTCTGTTTTCGAGGGGGACGCAAGTTTGGCAAAAGATCACGTTAACTCGTGCAGCCCCCTGGGCGGGGTTGACACCACTGCCAAAATCTTAAATGGAAAGGGGGGTCGAGTGATACCTTATTTTAAAGGTCTTTCAATTCCCTTTATGATGATATAAAATTAATGTACTCCAGTTCAGTAGTTTTGAAGACTTATTGATTTAAAGCTTAATGTAGACTTTAATAGGTACATCAGATTAGTTTGTACTACTTTCAGAAGAAATTTGACTAAAAGAATTTACTTGATAAGTAAATGCGTTTCTTCACTACGCCCACGGTTTGTTTATCATTTTGTTGTTGAAAATTGCTATTGGATCGTTTTTTTGTGGCAAAAAAGTTATTTCTTGAAGAAAGATAAGGAAATATCTCGAATTTATTTTAAATAGGAATTTAGTACATAGTTTGCGATTGATTTGACCAAACTTTGTTGCTAAAATAACTTGTAACGCTTTATTACATAAATTAACCATGGTATATTCCACAGCAGAAAGAGTTGAAATTATCGAAATGTCTTTCGGAAATAATCAGTGCGCTATAGTAATAGAACAGCAGAAATATTTAATAAGCGAATTGAAATACCTTTAAAATAAGGTATCACTAAACCCCCCTTTCCATTTAAAATTTTGGGAGTGGTGTCACCCCCGCTTAGGAGGCTGCACGTGTTAACGTGATTTTTTGCCAAACTTGTGTCCCCCTCGAAAACAAAATCGACGGGTCTGAGCGTTTTTCAAAAAAAAACTGAGCTGCCAGTAAATGCGTCTGTTTCGTTTTCGATGCGCCACCCTATATAACATTTACATAAATACTACATGCATAGAGAAGTAAACTGTACTGGACATTTTCACCAGTTTGTAAAATCATCTTTGCCTTATTTGGACTTAGTCATACTATTCGTCATTATTCGTCAGAGCGGTCCGGCGGACCTTTGCTCTTAGTTAAAAGTCTCGTCGGTATTTTAGTCTGTCAGGTCTGGCTACCCAGATACCAAACATGTTTAAGGGGAAAAAGGAAAGAAGAAAAGAAAGGAAGGGAGAAATAGATCAAAGAAAAGAAGTAAATCATTTGAAATAGCTTAAGCATTATTGCTTTGACTACTCGAATTATTTTGTAAGTCCAAAAAATAATTTTGATCGGTTTTGTATACTGAAATAATTTTGGCTGGTCTGAATTTACAATTTAATTTTGATCACAGTGCGAGGCGCGGCCTGGAATGTTTGCGAACTGCTCGACTGTGTAGTCTACTGAATCACGCAACAGAGGGTTGCTGTGCGATTCAATTGATTATAACGCCGCTGCGCCTGTTGTTTTTCATAATCCCTTAGATATGGGATATCAAGATCTCTGTGAATGGTCTCATTTGACACGTGCCAAGGGGCGTTAGTAATTGTGCTTTGGGTTCTGTTTTGCAGGACTTGCTGTCTCTGCATGTGCGTCTTGGCAAGAAAACACCAAGCTGCGCATGCGTAGGTGATTGCGGGTCTTATGACTATTTTATACAACCGAATCTTGTTGATCGAGCTTAATTTTGAATTTCTGCACAACAAAGGATAAGTAGTAGTAGTAGTAGACAGATTTATTTAGCACATTTGGCTACATAAACAGAATAATTGTAAACAACTTAGAACTAGTAAATTCAAGCCATATGGTGTATGATGTAAATGCTGGCCAACCTATAATTGTAGATTTAACAAGTGATTTCTCAATTTTACTTTAAATTTTGTCAAAGTTTTCTGGTCTTTTATCTCCGAGTATAATTTATTATATTCAATCAACCCTTGATGGAATACAGATTTGTAGCATATGTTATACTTTTTGAACATCAAATGGAAGTCATCTTTATTTCTGGTATTATGTAAATGATGGTCGACATTTGATGATGTTAAATTAGTTAGACTTGATGGAAATATATTATTACTTACTTTATAAATGAATATCATTACAAGATATTTAATAAAAAATTTTACATTGAGCCATTTTAATTTGCTAAGCATTTGCCTAATTGGAGTATATTGATCTTTATTTAGTATTATTCTCATGCACTTATTTTGTAAAATTTGCAGTCTTTCAAAAATGGAATTATTTGCTAAATATAGAATAGTCGAACAGTACAAGAAATTTGGAAGAATGATGGTATTATAGATCATTTTTCTGCTATATGAACTCAGACATCCAGAAACTTTCGATAAATATCCCACTTTACTACTAATCTTATTTATAACTTTTTCGTAATGAATATCAAAAATGAATCGAGAGTCAACAAAAACCCCCAGGTATTTAAAATTTTCTACGAATTCAATATCTTCACCATCAATATTCAGTTGAACATTTGTACATTGTTTTTTCCCATTAACAAGGCTTTCGTTTTACTTGCATTTAATTTTAGTCTGTTAGATGCTAACCATTTTGAGACAAGTTTCAAGTCTTCATTTATATAAGAGATACCAGACTGAATATTTTTAGTACTTATATAAATCATAGTGTCATCGGCGAAAATCTGAATTTTGCATTTTTTGACTATGGCAGGTAAATCATTTATGTATAAAATAAAAAGAAGTGGTCCCAGGATACTGACCTGTGGAACACCCAACGTATTTTCAATTTTTGATGAAATAGGGTCATTAACTTTTGTAACTTGCATCCTTTTAGACAAATAATTCCGAAACCAATCTAAAACACTTCCTGATATACCATATGCCTTCAATTTAACTAACAAAATATCTCTATCAATCGTTTCAAATGCCCTCTTCAAATCCAAAAATACTGCAACTTCTTCTGAGTCTATGGCTCTCCAATTCTCAGTTACCAACTGGAAAGCAGTTTTTGTGGAATATTTTTTTCGAAAGCCTGCTTGCGACTCCACTAAAATTTTGTTTTCTTCTATAAACTGCATTAATTGGTCATGCACTATGGACTCTAATAATTTTTGTCTGGTAACACATTTACTGGTCTCATATCACTGTATCTTCTAGAATTTTTTATTTTGGGAACTGGTGTTATTGTAGAGCATTTCAAATTTTCAGGAAAAGAACTGCTTCTCAGTGAACAATTGATCCAATTTAATACAGGATATCCCAAAATTTCGAAACAGTTTTTCAGCACGTTTTTAGTAGTGATTTCGGCACAGTTGTTATTTGATTTTAAACTTTTCTTAGATGATTCAATGGTACGCTGTGAAATTTTGAAAGTGTATGCAACATTTCCCCCTGAAAACTGATTTTCATATAGTCAGGTGCAGCATTGGCAGTACCCACATTATCAACAATACTTTCCACAAAATATTCATTTAGTTTGTTTGCAATCACCAACGAATTTGTTTCGGTACCGTTTTCGAATTGAACTTGATTTAAACAATCATGCGGCTTCGAATTGATCAGTCTTTTTAAAGTCTTCCACATCTTTACACTGTCGCACTTGTTATTATCGATTTTTTTATCGTAGAATTTCCTTTTTTCTTCTCTAATTACATATACACATTTATTCCTAAGAGTTTTATATACCTCCCAATCATCATTTGATTTTGTGAATATACATTTATTGTATTGTTTGTCTCTCAAATTTTGAGCTGCCTTAATATTCTTGTTATACCAGGGTGTATTTTTTGTCGAGCAAATCACTTTTTTATCAGTTGCAAGATCTAAACAAGTTTTTATATTTCCTATTATGTTGTCATATATTTTTTCCATATTCTCACCAAAATTCCAATAGCAGCCAGCAAGTTCTCGTTCAAGTTTTTCGTACTTAGTAGTATTTACGGTTTTCTTAATTTTTGTATCAGAAAAATGCCCTACCAAGGGCAGCATTGTCCAACTGTGATCGCTAACTTTAGGTGTATGTACAGCTTTAATCCCTGCACATTCTAAATTTACAATAACAAGATCTAACAAAGTCTCTGATGATGATATTATTCTGGTACTCTCTTCAATTTTTTGCTTGAACCCATAGTTGTTTATGGTTTCTTTCAATTTTCTTGTTTTCATGCTTTTACCATAATAATTTAAATTAAAATCACCTAAAAGTATTATATTGTTTCTAAAATTCCACATTTCTTCGCATTTTTGCTGAAAGGTAATTTGGAATTTTATTTTCAGATTGCTCCCATCGTGGATTTCGTGTTTACTTCATGTTGACATAACCAGTAACAAAGCAATATAAAACATTTATATATGTATCCGTTTAGTGGGTATTGTGAGGCTATGTTTCCATTTTGAATCTCAAGAAATATCAGACTGACAAAACAAATGATAAAAATCAGGTTTTATCAGCCCGACATTTTTTAGAATTGTAACAGAAAATGTAACCTCAAAATAGAGCGCTGCCACGATACACGGGAGAGGAAAAACTATGAAAATCAAGGAGGCTCTAAACGACTGACGATACGGCCTTAAGGGACTTACTTAATCTGCGTTTTTTACATCCAACTGAAGTATCCTAGGGGTGGAAACAACAACTCTTAACAGGGTACTTAGAATTTTTCACTAAGAATGCCAATAGTTTCTTTATGGATATATAAAGCGACACATTCCTCTAATCAAGAGTGAAGTATTTACATGCAATGGTTTTTTCCTTGGCGGTAATTGTTGGCTGTTGCCAGTAAATAAATAAATATCTACCTGTGCTTGTTGTCGTGTGTTTCCGATTCCAGGCGCTTGATTTATGGAAACCGTAGCCACTGTAGATATTTCTGGGTTAATACTTATCGGTATTATCTTTTGAGTTGGTTTCGTTGGAACGTTTCTCTGTATTGGTACAGGAAAGTTATTTGCCGCTGGTGCGATTACGATCCTCGGCCTGGCGTTGACAATTTCGTTTTCAGACTGAAACAGAAAAAGCAGCAAGTTTCTATCACAACTCGGGTCAATAAATGAATTAAGCACAGAACTTTTTTGACAAAGGATCATTTTATTTCTCAACAAAGTCTCCTTTGCCGTGACCAAAAATGGTGAGTAGAAGTGTAAAAATAAAAAACAAGTTTTTTAGTATCTAAGTGGAATGAGCTAAAATTTGGTATGTGGATTAACCTCAGTATTGTCCACATTCAAAAGTCTTTACCTAGTATACTAAGTGACATATAAATCCGAACACCCAGTTTAAATGGTTTTATTTTAATAAAATTTTGTATAAGTACTTAATGAAGCATAATAAGTAAATGATAAAAATTTCAAAATGATTGCACTGCTTTAAAGCCCTTTGACCTTTAATAATGTGTGTATGCACCCTGATGTGCTACGCATTCTCCAACGCGCCTAGGCATGCTTCTGATCAGGTGGTCAATGTCCTCCTGTGGTATCTCATTCCAGGCAACCACCAATTCCTCTCGAAGTGCTTCTAGAGTCTGAGGAGGACGTTGCAAATTGAGCAATCTCCTACCCATCATATCCCACACGTGCTCAATTGGGGATAAGTCGGAAGATCTTGGTGGCCATGGTAACAATGTGACATCATTATGTTGAAAGAAGTCTATTGTGACTCTTGCAACATGTGGTCGGGCATTATCTTGTTGGAAAGTTGGATCTGCCAGGGTGTCAAGATAGGGTAAAAGATGGGGTTCTAGAACTTCGTGGATATAACGCTGTGCGTTCATGTTACCTCTGATGAAGATTAAAGGTGACCTGGAACCATAAGCTATAGCACCCCAAACCATAACTCCAACAGTGTGATGAACATGTCTTTCAACAAAAAACTGTGGATTCCTCCTTTCACCACGTCGCCTTCTAACCCTGGCACGACCATCGTGCATGCCTAAACAAAATCGAGACTCGTCACTAAAGGCAATACTGTTCCATTCCTGATCCCAGAGTGACCGTTGTCTGCACCACTCAAGGCGATTACGTCGGTGTTCTCGAGTTAAAGGGAGGACCCAGTGTGGCCGGTATGAAAACAAGCCAAAACTTCTCATTCGTCGGTAAACACTTCGCATGCCAATAGGTCTTCCGTGTTCTGCAAACCATTCATTTGCAATGGACCTGGTAGTGGAGAAACGGTCCCTTAAGGCCAATAATCTTAGGCGGCGATCTTTACGGTCTGTTGTTCTACGGCGGCGTCCAGTGCCCCTTGCTCTTTGCGTACGGCCTTCTGGAAGCCATGCCTGACAACACCTAACCACAGTGTCTACACCAACTTTTATTAAAATAAAACCATTTAAACTGTGTGTTCGGATTTATATGTCACTTAGTACACTTAGGTTAATCCATACACCAAATCTTAGTTCATTCCAGTTGACGGATTTAAAGATATTAAAAAAATGTTTTTTGTTTTTAAACTTCAACACCCCGTATTTTTTTAACGAAGCCCTCGAGGGAAAAATGTTACATAGAAGACCCCCTTAAAATGCGGTCTTGTGTATGATGTTCCATTTTTGGTCACGACTTGTGAATCACCCTGTATAGAGCTCAAAGGAGACTATGTATACTTCGTCCAATGTTTCTCCAATTTTTTACCCCTTCCAAAAAAGTTAAATTTGCTGAGGTCCTCAAAATAGGTATTTGTTTGTTAAATGATTTCATCGTTGCAGGTTTAGAAACAAAAACAGTCGCTTCGAGCTAAATCCGGAAAGTAAGGCGTATGAGGGAGCAACTCATAGCCCAATTCATTGCAATTTCGCCCTGCAGACTACACACGTATGCACCCCTGGATTGCCTTGCTGCAACCTTTTTATATGGCAGATGTGGCCGTTTTTCCTTCAAATCGTCAAATTCATTTAAAAACATCACCCGAATGACACAGCTTGTTCAGAATTTGACAGGATGCAACTTCCAGTTAAGAGGCAGGAAATTAAAAAAATCACGGACTTATTGACCCACCCTTGTACGATCGCTGATTTAACTGTTGCAGCGGTTAGCGCGTTAAGCTGCTTAATCGGTCAATCGGCAGGGATATTATGTAAAAAACGTACAAAAAAACGACAAAATGTCATCTTGCAGACTATATTACAACTATTTAAAACTGTAATGACTCATTCGCGTGATCAACACGTGATCAGAGCTCGATCCCGGCTTCCTTCCAGTACAGCCGTATAGCATACGACATATGTCGTTTCTGTGACTTTGCGGTGGTCAACAGCACAGACAGAGATGGAAATAATGGCTGATTGTTCTCCGCCGGTAGAACCAATGAAATCAAAGACGCGCCTCGACCGGCAGACTCATAGGCGTCGGCAACGCATTGGAACGTGTTTCGTTGAGCGATCGCATATTGTGTGTTTTTATAAGAATTGTTGTGTGATTGTTATTGTTGTGGTTTCTGTGGTTACTGTTTTGGTTATACTTAACCATGGAGAGTACAAATGGCACGAGTGGAAGTACTGAAAGCCAGGGAACAAGTAGACGGCTTCGTAAAGCACTGAAGATGGACGCGAAAGAAATCGTGCTCAACGTGTTCAATTATCTGAACAGAACTATGTCGCAGGGATATGCACTCGCGCGTTGTGAAAGTATGACAGGCGTTCCAGAGTGGACCATTTGCAGGGTGGTGCATGAAAAGAAGAAAACTGGAGCTACTACTGATCCAAAGTTTAATTTGAAGGGACGAAAGGCCGTTAAATTGGATGACGATAGCAAAATGGCGTTAAGGCGAACCGTACATTCATTCTTCTTTAGGAATGAGATATCAACCCTCAAGGATGTACATGCAGCGATCAAGGAAAATGAAATTATACCCCAAATGAGCGTCGAGGTAATGCGGAAATCCCTGCACGAAATTAATATTCGTTACGAAACGCGTAATCGGAAGTCAGTATTGATAGAGAGATCTGAAATAGTCGCGTGGCGTCGAAATTACCTACGCGAAATGATTGAATATAGGCGACAAAGCAGAAAAATCTATTATTTGGACGAGACATGGGTAAATGCAGGTCACACAGTTAAAAAAACCTGGATAGACAAAAACGTAGTGAGTAACCGACAAGCAAGCATTGAAGGTTTGTCAACAGGTCTTCGTGGACCGTCAGGGAAAGGTCAAAGATTGATCGTAACTCATATTGGTAGCGATAGTGGCTTTTTAGAAGAGTGTGACTTGATTTTCGTCTCTAAAAAAGGAGGTGATTACCATGACGAAATGAATGCCAGCTGCTTCAAGAGCTGGTTTCAAGGGGTGCTTCAGCGAGTTGAGCCCAACTCTGTGATCGTCATGGATAATGATTCCTACCATAGTCGTCGAGCCGAACGTGTACTGACTATGGGATCTCGAAAAAGTGACATGCAGCAATGGTTGCGCGAAAAAGGAATCCCGTTTGACGATTCATGTGTGAAAGCGGAATTGTATGAAAAAATTACACAGCACAAACCTGCGAACATTAGTTACGTGACTGATGAGATGGCCCGTCAATGTGGTGTCACTGTGCTGCGGTTACCGCCCTACCACTGTGAACTGAACCCAATAGAGATCATCTGGGCTCAAGTGAAGGGTTATATTGCGCGCCATAACACAACCTTCAAATTACCAGACGTTGAGGTTTTACTTGAGACTTCCATACATATAGTAACGCCCGAAGCTTGGCAGAATGCGATCCGTCATGTTGTGAAGGAAGAAACAAAAATGTGGCAGCTTGACCACCACATCGACACCATCATAGAGCCAGTTATAGTCAATTTCAACTAGGAAAGCGATAGCGACAGTTTATTACTGTCAGATGTAAGTGGAAGCGACGATGAATAAAGGTAATCCCCAAATTTTTGACTTACAATATGTTTCAAACCACTCTTTATTAAGCATGTGACAAATCTAGTTCACCCATGTTAAACATTCATACCCCGCCTATGGCAACACATACAGCTACCAAACGAGTTTACAACAACAGCTAGTGCTAACTTGAAAAACCTACGTTATCTCACAAGAACCTTTAAACCGAATCTCACTTTTCAAGATACGTAATACCCGTGCCAAATTGGTAACTAAGCTCTAGGAATTTCATGAATAATGTTGTTCAATAAAAAATGTATTTTGATAGCGTCGTTCTTTATAGATTCTTGTGGCATTATTTTTTATACTGTATAAACTAACATTACCTGTGTTTTCGGGACGCATAAGTTTATTGGATTTTTCTGATCAGTTGCAGGAGAAGCAGATTCTTGGGGTTTTTCTAAAACGGCCTCCTTATTCTCAACCGCTTTTGTTGGCGAAACTCCGCTAGAAGGTTTGATGGAATCTTCAGTCTTAACTACGGAATCACTGGAACTCGTTGATGGTTGACTAGAGCTTTCTTTGCTTGTTATTGGTACCGTACATCTAGAATTGTCAGTAGATGATTCAGGTTTTCCGGAAGTATCGCCGCAATTTTCCAAAGGTTGACCAGGCTTCTCTACAAATTTGCTGGAATTGTCCGAAGTTTGAGCAGACTTTTCCGTAGAATCGCAGACACTTTCCGAACGTTCGACAGGCTTCTCTAGAGAACTGCCGAATTTTTCCAAAGGTGCATCATGCTTCTCAATAGAATTTCCGGAATTTTCCGAAGATTGACGAAGCTTCTCTAGAGAGATGCTAGAGCTGTCCGAAAGTTGACGAAGTGCTTCAGAAGGACTGAAGCCATTCCCTAAAGAACTTTTACTGCCATTCTGTAAAATTTGTGTCGGCCTAGGTTTATTTTTTCTCCTTTCTGCAACTCTGTATATCACAGCTGGCATCGAGTGTCTTCCTTTTACGGGGGATCGACTGAGCTTTTCCGGTTCGTTTTGGCTATTTTCGCTGGCCTCTTGCAGATTTTTCTCCTTGCATACGTCGTACGGTTCCTTTGTTTTGCACAGAGATGTTGGAACTGCTGAAAAATAGACTTTTTTTATTGTTTGAAAGCAGATCAGGTTGTTTTGAAAGTTTCATTTTGATTTATAGAACCAGTATCACTAGATATAGCCGTTTATTTGACAATATTTGTGTAACTTTTAGTGCTGGTTGACGGCTGCAGTTGTCAGGATGAGTAAAAGGAAACCGAATACCATCGATTGGTTTCTTTCTAAACAAAACAAACTGTCTGGTGCACCGGCACAAGAATTACCTCTGCTGGGGCAAGGGACGTCATAAATAAAAAGTGAATAAAGGACTGGTTCAAGAACCGAACCCTGAGGGACACCGGCTTTGATGGGCCGTGTTGTCGACAGAACGTTATTAATTTTGATCCGAAATTTCCTACCCTCGAGGAAGGATTTCAAAAGTTTTAGGAGCCAGAAGAGGAAGCGCTTATGGATCAATTTGTAGAGAACGACCTTGTGCCACACCTTGTCAAATGCCTTTGAGACATCCAGAAGCAAGATGCCAGTACTTTCGTTACGGGTGAACCCCCTGGTTACTCGTTCAACAAGCCTTATGGCCTGTAGCTGCGTACTATGCTCAGACCGGAAGCCAAATTGTACGTCAGGAATCACATTGTGGTCTGCCAAGAAATTTTCAAGGAGAATCACCTTTTCAGCGAGCTTAGAAGGAGCTGACAGTAGTTTAATGGGGCGGTAATCCTAGAGGAATATCGAACCCACCTTCTTTGGAATCATTATGACATCAGCGGTCTTCCACGCCGTTGGGAAGTGCTGGGTTCTTAGCATGGCATTGATTATTGCCACGCGATAAGTTAAGGACTTCCGCGAAAGTAGCTTCAGCGCCTTATTAGTGATTCGATCCTCTCCAGGTGCTTTACGCACCTTGAGGTCTTTAATATGACCTTGGAGCTCTGCTGGTGTGCAATGCGGAGTCTCAGGAGATTCCCTTGATGTGTCGTGCAACTCTTCAGTTGAGGAATCTTCTGAAGATTCCTCTGAGGAAAAATCACTAAGGGAGGCACTACTGCCGTTGGCCCTAAAATCTCCTGACGGATCTTACAATATGTTGCTGCTCGTCGAGGTCATTATCAAGGTCATAGTTGGGAGAGAACTGACTTTCCATTGCATCAGCGAAAACCTCGACCTTTTCCTCTGTCCTACAGACCCCCTAGGATCGTGGATGTGCGGGAGTTGTTCTCGCTTTCAGTTTCTGAGCGACTTTGCAACTTTCCAGAGAGGAACACTTGAGTCAAGCATCCACGACAGAAAGTCGCTCCATTGCTCATTACGGAATTCATGAAGAGCATTTCGCACTTCATGAACAAGATTCGTTGCTCTGTGAATGTCATCTGAGTGACAAGACCTCTTCGCTTGCTTAATTGCAGCTCTTTTGTCAGAAATTTTCTGACGAATGTCTGCAGGGAGAGCAAGAATTACCGGAAAAAACTATGATAATCCGACAATTCAACCTGAGCCTTCCAGTTCAAAACTTCTTGATGTTACACCGTATGCTAAACCAAGTGTTGAAAAATCGGGTGCGAAACCTAAAGGATCCAATTTTGTTGATGTTGCGCCATATGTAAATTTCAGCGGCAGCTTGTCTTCCCATGAAAAATATACCTTATTGAGGTGTGCAATGATCCCTAATGACTCTTTCAAATATCCCTATTCCACACACTTGAAAAACAATAAAGAAGTGTAATGTTACTTATCAAAAAAACACTTTGAGAAATTTCCTTGGCTGTCATGTTCAGGAACTACAAGAGCTTTTCTGTAAATATTGCGTGGTTTTTGCAAAATTAGGAGGAGTATATAAATCAACTGAATTGGGAAAACTTGTTACCGCACCACTAAAGAAATTTTCGAAATTGTAAGGCAAACCCGGTGATTGTGAGACACATGAGGACTGAATATATCATACAGAAGCAGTTTCAGATGCTACAAACTTTTTAAAGATTTACCAATATCCAGAGAATGATATAAGAAATATAATAGGTTCAGAGCGAATTAAGTAAGTATCAGAAGATCGGCAAAGACTGACTCCTATAATAGAATCTATAATTTTTTTAGGACGCAAAAATATACCACTTAGAGGGCATAGAGATAGGGGACGACTTTTTTCTAATGACAGCACGAATGACGAGGATGTCCTCAATAATGAAGGGAATTTTAGAGAACTAATAGGGTTTACCACGGTGATATTTTCCAAAGTATCCAATCAAGATATGTGGTTTTATTTGTTGGCCAGCAGATTGATATAAAGGTCTGTTCAAATCACTTTCCAAGTTAATGTAATGATTGTCTTATTTTGAGACTGTGATCTGATGTAGTTTCATAGTCGAGGAGCAGACTTGCGAAATGCATTTTGTCCAAATTTTAAATATTCTAAGTGACATATAAATCCGAACACCCAGTTTAAATGGTTTTATTTTAATAAAATTTTGTATAAGTACTTAATGAAGCATAATAAGTAAATGATAAAAATTCCAAAATGATTGCACTGCTTTAAAGCCCTTTGACCTTTAATAATGTGTGGATGCACCCTGATGTGCTACGCATTCTCCAACGCGCTTAGGCATGCTTCTGATCAGGTGGTCAATGTCCTCCTGTGGTATCTCATTCCAGGCAACCACCAACTCCTCTCGAAGTGCTTCTAGAGTCTGAGGAGGACGTTGCGAATTGAGCAATCTCCTACCCATCATATCCCACACTTGCTCAATTGGGGATAAGTCGGGAGATCTTGGTGGCCATGGTAACAATGTGACATCATTATGTTGAAAGAAGTCTATTGTGACTCTTGCAACATGTGGTCGGGCATTATCTTGTTGGAAAGTTGGATCTGCCAGGGTGTCAAGATAGGGTAAAAGATGGGGTTCTAGAACCTCGTGGATATAACGCTGCGCGTTCATGTTACCTCTGATGAAGATTAAAGGTCACCTGGAACCATAAGCTATAGCACCCCAAACAATAACTTCAACAGTGTGATGAACATGTCTTTCAACAAAAAACTGTGGATTCCTCCTTTCACCACATCGCCTTCTAACCCTGGCACGACCATCGTGCATGCCTAAACAAAATCGAGACTCGTCACTAAAGACAATACTGTTCCATTCCTGATCCCAGAGTGACCGTTGTCTGCACCACTCAAGGCGATTACGTCGGTGTTCTCGAGTTAAAGGGAGGACCCAGTGTGGCCGATATGAAAACAAGCCAAAACTTCTCATTCGTCGGTAAAAACTTCGCATGCCAATAGGTCTTCCGTGTTCTGCAAATGGACCTGGTAGTGGAGAAACGGTCCCTTAAGGCCAATAATCTTAGGCGGCGATCTTCACGGTTTGTTGTACTACGGCGGCGACCAGTGCCCCTTGCTCTTTGCGTACGGCCTTCTCGAAGCCATGCCTGACAACACCTAACCACAGTGTCTACACTTCTTTGCACTCTAACTGCAATTGCCCGAAAAGAAAGTCCAGCTTCCCGAAGTCCCACTATACGGCCCCTATCAAACTCACTAAATTGACGAAATCGTACAGGTCTCCGTACTCTAGGCATCGTAACCGATCGTAAAGGATGTCAAGAACCAAAATCCGCCAACGTTGATTCTTTACTGCGGCTGAAATATTCATTTTTAGAGCGTTAGTGAATTAAAAAAAAGCAGTATAAAAACCGGAATGTCCAACTGATAAGGCTGAAAATTTTTTCACTTGTTATTTACAGTAAGATAAATACATTCACCAACTTTTATTAAAATAAAACCATTTAAACTGGGTGTTCGGATTTATATGTCACTTAGTATATTTTGTACAGAAATTACTGTAACAAATTCATATGCCTGCATATGTCCATGCTTTTAATGTTAAATCATTATAACACTTCAGTACGTCACACTGAGAATTTACTTTCCATTTTACCCCTCCCAAACTGAAATGCTGGAAGCGCCACTGCGTACCACACAGCTTGATCCAAAAACAAGATATTCCGTTACGCTTTTCAAATGCGAACCCTCTTTTCTTGATGTTTTTAGTAAGTTTTGTATAATAAAGTTTGGATCACCCTGTATTTTACGACAATAGACGAAAAGACGTCCTCATTGAAATGACGCGTCCGAGCGTTTTTCGCAAAATATACCAAGAGTGTTACATATGGAGGCGCGACATTTTCATTGGGCCACCCTGTACTATAAGCATATCATCAGTAAGGAATCTCATATTTTCATACGTTGGTTATTTGAATCATAGTAGTATATTTTTCAGTTCTAGGAAAACGCAGTATAAGCATAACAAATCGGAAATTTCTACTTCTCTGTTATCATCGTGACACATTCATGCTGCAAACATTTGCATGACTAAAGTTAAGAATGATGTTCGTTATCAAAAGCTGTGTTATCTAGAATGTTTGACGACTCCACAAAAGAGCGCTATAATCGAGATAAGATTAGATAGTGATGTTTATATTATATAATTTGAATACTCAGAAAAATATGCAGTCTCGCAAACTTGTTAATTTATTATCAGAGAAAACCGATGATTGTTTTATAGTACATTACATACCTAGTTTTAGAAGTGCGCCATTATGGGGTGGCCAAATTTAAAAAACCTATGGCATTAAATATGACTTTTGATGGCTCAACAATGTCCCTTGGCACGCAAGTAAAATTCTTGGGCTTGTATCTAGATACAGGTTTAAATTTTAAAGACCAATATGTACAGAGTGGCCCATCCATGTGTGGACGGAATATTACTCATAAACAAATACACTTCCGGAAAACCTATTTATGCAATGTTATACATGACATTTGAGGGCATATTTCTAAAATATTGGCCATTATACAGGGTGTCCCAATTCCGACCTACATTGTAAAGTAGTGATTTTTCAAATAGAATACCTCAAATTTTATTGCATATTTGGATAAACTAATTCAAAAGAAGAAGATTGATATAACATACTATGGGGTTTTGATAAGTAGCTACTGAGATTAAGGTGTTTTGTCTCGAAAAACCGCCCAATTCGGCAA